GAATCCCAGACAGGACTGTTTGCACATACTGTTAACATCCCTAATGTACATACCCCCATCCGTCATGGGCTCTCTAAAGATCTTAATGCACTACAGAAGAATGTCATCCACTACCCCAGCAAAGCTATCTTTAAGATGAGAGAATGACTGTTTATTCATACATCAGCAAAGAAACAGCAGTTTGGAACACAGAATAAAGGCAATCAACTAAGTTCAGTCTTCTAAGGGTACACACGTTCAAAAGTGATGCTTAACATACAAGAGACTTCATGCCAGGCAGGAGAAGGGCTGAGGAGTTGGACAGCCAGAAGACCATCTCTGACACATAATTTTAAAACAAACTTTCACGGGGGTGTAGATTACCTTACATTTATCATGGGCTAAACTCATGCAGCTAAAAGTATTCAACATACTGTGATTTCACTGTTCATTGTAAGGTTTTGTCTATCCACAGTTTTATACCTAAGAAACACGGTAAAAAAAAGGCAATGAAGAATTTACAACAGTATGTGGGTTAGAGACGTTGAAGTTCACCTCTGTTCAGTTTTTCAAATGTAAATCGGCTATTTAGGCATTTTGTTGCATGTATCATTCTTTGCAAAGTATTGTATTGTCCACATTAATAGTGTACTCTGGAAAGTTCTGCTTACAAGTGTCACAAGACATGCTCTCTGCTGTCACTTCAGCAACAGCGTCTCAATGTTCTCTACTTATCCCCAGAAACACCAAAATCAGTAGATAATTTCTTCACTGTTTCAAACAGCTGATTGGACACATTAAATGGTTGTGTACTTCTCTAAATTTTCTAATATATGTATTAACAGCTGCTTTATTACCATTTGTATTGTAACACGAAATATATTCTTTACCCAATCACATTTTCAGTCAAATGGGGATTTTTTGATTTTTTACAACAGATATCTATTTATTTCATTGTCAACTGAAACACATACACCAAGATTTTCAGTATTTTAAAATAAAAAAGTTCTTTTTGATTTTGATAGGAGAAACTGAGTACAATTAACAAATCCCTGCAAGCTGTGATATTCTTTTGCACTATACTTGAATTAAGGATGAAAAATAGAAAGGGAAGCGGAGGTGTGACTGAACCCAAGGCCCCTCTGCAGAATCTACTTTCAGTACTCTTCTGCTCATTAAACCAAACACGCAAGATACTTGGAAGACCTACACTGAATGGAAACAAAATAAGCAATGCCCCTTCCCCCTCTTCAGGTTTCAACAGAGATGCAGCATTACTCGTCCAGCCCACCCAAACAAGAATGAAGACAGCACTGGTACTTCTCAAAAAGCTACAGTCATTGGGGGTGCAAAAGCACATGTGACATCATCATTAGGTTTTCACCTACATCAGAACAGATGACGGCAGGTTTCAATAGGTGAGTATTACATCTCCAGAACATAGAAAAAGTAAACTGTGGAGAAACTACTACTTCATCGTGCCACCATTTTGGTAATCATGCTTAACAGGAAAATGCCAGGATGCAAAACTCACTACCAAATTGAGACCTCTGTGCCTAACAGAAGGGAATGACCAGGCTTCCCTCAGTAATTTCAGCCCTGAGTATCAGAAACTGCAGCAAAGCCTTTTCCGCTGTAAGAAACTATCAGCCATTGCTTACTTCGCAGTCCGAATTCAGACACTGTCAGCAACACCACCTGACAATCCAGCTCTGCAGGGAGAGGCGGGAGGCGCTCGAGTATGTTTGCATCTCACCTTATGTTATGGACACAGCAGATACGGTGTTCATAAACACAAAGTCTTTCTGTGTTTCTCTAAAATTAAACATAAGAGCCCACATTTTCACCTGTTTGAGAACACCGAGTTAGCTTTAAAAGTAGAGATGCGTTAATTTCAGGGAAAAGAAAACAAATAGCAAAATAATTTCCTGAACTGTTTTAAGGAGATATTTGCCAAATATTAAGAAAGCAACTTGATAATCATGAAAATAACAAACTTACTTTTTTGCCCTAAAATTTTGCCTGTATGTGGCAGCAATGTAAGATATAAGGTACTTTTAGCTTTCAAGCCAAATATAAGATGGCTTTTATTCTCACTGACTTTCATAGTTACAGGTGACAAAGGGCAAAATAAGCGTAACTAACTACATAAGGAAAAGCTATGATTTCAGACAGAGTGAAGTTGATCAGTAAAGAGTATCAACCACAAAAAAAAAAAAAAACAAACAAACCCATAACTGAAAGAAGTAACAATACAATAAAAAAAAAAAACCCCCCATCATCGCCATCTCTATCTAGCCAGTAAAGGTTTTAAGACCAGGTATAACATGATTAACTTAACTGCATCAAATACAAAATTTACAACACAAAAAAGTTTGAAGGCAGTATCTCAAGTGCCTTTTCTAAAATCAGTGCTGATTCTGTGCAGATTCTCACGGTTGAGAACAACAGCACTTAGTTTCACGTTCTTATTAAGCATCAAGCTCTAAGTATTCTCTGAGCAGATCACTAAATGGACACTGTTTCTACATAAAAACTTGGATCTGGTTTCATAGACTACAAAACATCCAACAGAAATTAACAGGCAAAATTGTTCCACAGTCTAACAGTTTATATCACAACGGATTCCCTGCATTTCATCCCTAAAGGCATTCCGCAAAAATACTCTAAAAGGTAAGCACGTGACAGTTCTTGAAACACAACTCTACCACAGAAAGCAACACTTAGTTGCTACATATATAGCTTTTGAAAATTATTATTCTTATTTATTTCTGCTAGCAAGTGGGAGTCAATTCAATAATTAGACAAGCCAGACTACTATGGTTCATGCATCAATGATATTGATGCAACCAAATTGTCCTTCTCTTTCTTAATTTACTTTTCAATTTCCCTCTAGTGGAAACAGGGACATAATTTAAGGTCCGGGGACTTGTACAGCAAACATCAAGGCAAAAATTAAGTCTAAAAAACTGTAATCTGTGATGTAAAATCCAGAAGAGAAACAATTACATTTCAGAGTGCAGACTGAGTTTATAGGACTGACAGGTAGAAAATCTTTCATTTACCTTGTAAAACAAAACAATCTGAAAGGGAACTGTTGAGACAAACACATTATATTTATGTTCTCCATTTTAAGAAGCAAGCATACATTTAAACTTCAAATATATATTGGTATCGCACTGAAAACAAAATAGAACCCTAATTGGCTGCTCTTCTCATGTTATATTTCATCTCCTTTATGCTCTATAGTAGAAGGATTTTCTAAATGCTATGAAACCTGAACTACCTGGTAGCTTACTGGTGAGCTCAAGAGCTCTAACATTTAACTGGTTTGCACAATGCACAACAGTATGCTACACAAACCACTTTCAATGTTTTTTACTTTGTTTTTAAATATGGCTCAGAAGTATACAAAGAACAATCTCTACATTCTGAAACATGCTAAAATGTGTTTACACAGTGTTATTTAAAAATATGCAATAAATGAAGTGGTAAACCGTTCAACCATTGGACCTTTTAGCCACAAACTTTTCCATACCTCATGCTTACCAAAAATGCAGATCAAATACATACAAGTTTTGGCAAGAATAAGTTTCTTCCCAAGACTTTTAGGTATGAGAAATTCCTGCATGTCATTAAATATAGAAGACATTTTTCTATATTCTAGAATATAGAAAAAACAGAAGTGATCCATTGATACAGAAATTTGAATCTAAAAAATTTTCATGCAGCTTTAATTTCAGTATTTTCTACATCAGGCACAAAAATGACCACAGGCTTCCATTAGAAGTTAAGTTACACAGCCTCATCCAGTGAGCTTTATTAGAAATTTTATTTTAGCTCCTTGTTTTTGTTAATCAGCCTTTTCCTTTAAAAATGCAATTATAATAAACAGACAAGTGAACATTCAATTTCTGAAGTCATAATCAGACTACTCCATGAGAGCTGCACAACTAGAGGTAGTATTTCTAGTCTTAACCTACCCACTCACACTCAGAAAGTTTATGGCACACAGTTAGGAGTCTACCAGCAGTACTCAAGAGCACAGGGTGAATTGGACAATGAGCTCTGGTGGAATGCACAGAAGTCTCTCCTGAGCAATATTCATTTGCTAAATGCTGTCAGTGTACTACCGCTTTACAGACAGACAGTAAGAGGATTCACCTTCAATCTGTTTTTGAAAGCTTCTATATCTAGTATCTAGGTGACAGCTTAGCCTGCTCTCAATCCAAGAAAATATTTCAAACTGCTTTGTGTTCAGCGTATGAGACTCTAGCTCTTTATAATTGGAAACCAGTGTCTGAACTCTTGGCCTTCCAGGCACACTGAAACAACACCGGGGACCAGAGTTGCAGCACTTCACATAGTACCCTCTGATATAAGAGGGAATTAAGCAGAAGCCTCTCCTAATGGCAGTTTGCTCACCTTAAAGTCAGAGAGGCAAATAGACTCTGCTGTGCAACTTCTTCAAAGGCAAAGAGCTGAACTGTTTGCAAAGAGTATCTCCTTTCTACCTGCCACCCCCAGAACAGGGCACTAGCTCAGACAATCAGAAGTATTTGCACACAGCAATTTTACACTCACTGAACCCAGGTTCCTCAACAAAAATGCTGAGGTTCTTTTCAATGACTTTGTTATTTGAAAATACTTTGCATAGGTTTCATCTCTTCTGCTCTCAGAAGATTACAATGAAGGATTGTCAGCAACCTATCCAGTCAAGGAAAGGAGGAAAAAAAAGAGACCCCAGCTGTACGGATGGGCATAACATACAGCAGGATACAAGGCTGAGGTGCAAATTTGCCGTGCTGTGTTGCAGTCTTCAGCATCAATTGTTCAGAAGACCAACTTTTGTCATTACAATTGTCTTCACTGAAGACTGTGCAAGGCAAAGAATGAGGTACTAACAAAGTTCTTTAAATACATAAAACCGGACTACAGACATACTCAGAAAAGAAAAAAGAAATACAAAGTACTACATAATGGTCAAGAAATTAAAAAATAACCATGCAAGATATACATACCCAGTTTTAGGGCTGAAGGAGTCACTTCAATCTCACCACCAATTGGCTGAAAGGCAGCCAGCTGAGCTGCTACCTCCGTCTCAAAAGAGTCCGGGCTGTTTCTGTCTGCCAAATTGCCATTGACGCCATCAGTCTTAGGGTGAGTTTCTTGCTCATCATAAACAGCAATCAGCTATCAAAACAAAAGATAAAACAGTTTGTATATTTAAGGTATTCCCAAAGTCACCTTTTTTTTTTTAAAGAAAAGGCAAAGTAAAATTTATCCTTTATTGGGAGTACAAAAATAACAATCTTATTTCAGAACAGCTAACAATAAACACACAGATTCACAAAAGCATGTGCATTTGTGTTTAAATACCTTGACTTCAGTATAGGCTTCAGCACTATCCTGTGCTGGCATGCTTTTCTCAGAATTAGCATGCTACCATTTTATATTGTTCCAAAACATTTAGGGCTGAACATGCTTAAAAACACAGAACAGCATTTAATTCTTGGTGGTAGAGGGTGTTCTTATTTTAAAAAATTTCAGTGCTACTGACTGACTCACTGCACAAAGGTAACACAACCGTGGAAGCTGTACTGAACAAGCAGATACATGTTTTATTTATAAGTACATAATAATTGCATTATGAGGACAAGATACATTCAGCACAATGACAGAGTGCGGAGTTTCCCTAATCACCCAACCTATGCCTCTGTAAGGATGAAAGTCTCTTGGTTCAGCTAGGCACCCATACACACACGCCTCTACCATCTCCTCCCATTCTCTCCTGCAAGCTCATACCAGATTACGTTGCTTCTGAAAACTGTCCCTCAGTCACTGACCCTTCCACAATTTCAGGCACACAGGAAGGTCAAGATTAAGTAATAACAGACTGCAAAGTCTGCTGACCAAACTCACATTGATGTTGACATGAAGACGATAAAGGAAAACACCAGAAAAAAACATTTTTTGCCTCAGCTAACCTGGCCTTTCACAAGGATGTTCCTTTTGGTGCCTACTAATACAAAGTGATCAGATAATATGTATATAGCTTTATCAACAAGTGACTCAGATACGTGTGCCTGGATGTAAATTCTGTTACAGTTCCAGGAAAACAGTTAACAGTGTTACAGTTCTGGGAAAACAATCAAAAAATAATTAATTCAATCTAAACAAATTAGAAGACTTGCTGTTCTCAACCAATGGGACACTTGACACCCCAAGACGCAAAGAAGTAACAGCAGCAGTTTGAAGCACTTTTCCTGCCCCACTACCTGATGTAGCATAGATCTCATGTCATGCAATGATAAACACTTCATCTAATAAGCATTGTACAAGATATCTTCGTCTTAAGGTGTTCACTTATTTCACTTTTTCTCAACTCCTTAGGATTATCCTAAAGTTTTTCTTAACTATTCCTGAAAAAGACCACAACACACACAACTGCTTAGGCAATATCAAGACATAAACAGAAAAATTGATTTGATTTACTACTTTCTCTCTCTCTCCGTGTTATTTTAAGGTATGCATACACACTCTCTATATGAAAATATTAGTACATCAAATCTCCTCTGATGCTTCCAAGACATGTCAAAAATTATATCCTATGATAAGCAGTATACTGAAACAAAGAGACAAACATTTAAAGGAACTCATTTGCCTAAGGGAAGAAACGAATGTATGAGACGGAAAAGAAAAGAAAAATGAAAAGAAAAATCCTGAAGTGCTTCTAAGGAAGAAACTGACATTTTCAGGTCTTCCACTCATTTATAATTTGGTTGCTAGAAATGTGTCAGCTCATATTTACCAATGCATATTTCAGAGACAGACAAAAACCCTTAAATAATTAGGTAGAAAACTTGCTCTCCTTTCCAATATCGAGCCTGTTTGCTTTCCATGGCTACACAAATGCTCTTACAACATAGAATTTGGTTTTTATTTGTCCAAAGTGTATAGGAAATATTAATTCCAGTAATGAAGACAATTCTCTTTGTACCTTATTCCTACATTGCAGGGAAACTACCCAGGTGTTCACACTGCATTCATCACCAAGCCACTGTTCATCGCTATGCCCCCCAACCACATACAACCAAAAAGGCTGCCTTAGAGCCAGACATCAACAGACCACTGCAATTTTCTGCAGCATCAAGAAAAAAACCAACCCTATGGTGTCTTTTGTTTGTTTCTAAAATGACTATTCGTGTTCATGTTATTATGGAAGCCCAGCATGATTCAAGAAGTTCCATAACCATTGCCCACCAAAAGGTCTGCTTTCTCAATCTCACTTTTGCTGTGGAAACTTAATTTTTGAGAAAGAGGCAGTTACTAATGAAGAGGAAATTTGAGATTGTGTAGGACCGTGACACTGAAAGCACTTTATATAATAGCAGGATACGACATTCACTTGAGCATTTGCAATGTAGAATAGAGTAAACGGAGCTCAGCTGTGATTTGATAAGAATAAAGAAGTGAATTCCTCAGCTGAACTAAGCTGAGTTTCCCCACGGTTTCACACCCTAGCACACTAAATGCTATATTACATTGTAATACTCTACACTTACTGCCCCAGGATGTTGTGGAGACCAAAAATAGGGATTGGCTCAAAAAAACTAGACAAACTGATGGAAAAAAACAGCAAGAACTGTTAAATGGCAACTGCAAGCACTACCTCAGACTCAAAAGCCCCCAAAACATGGAATAGTAAAAACCTAAACAGTAAGCCAGGAGAACGCTGATGCTATAAACACCTTATTTCTATATGCTTTCTTCAAGTGTTTTCCACTGGTCACCAGCAGAGACCAGAGCTCTTGCATGCTCACATATATTACGGTATTGGGACTGGTGCTCTTCATCTTTGTCAGCAACATGGACAGTGGGATTGAGTGCACCCTCAGCAAGTTTGCAGACGACACAAAGCTGTGCGGAGCAGTTGACATGCTGGAGGGAAGGGATGCCACCCGGAGGGACCTGGACAGGCTTGAGAAGTGGGCCTGTGCAAACCTCATCAAGTTCAACAAGGCCAAGTGCAAGGTCCCACACCTGGGTCAGGGCAATCCCAAGCACAAATATAGGGTGGGTGGAAAATGGATTGAGAGCAGCCCTGAGAAGAAGGACTTAGGGGTGTTGGTGGATAAGAAACTCAACATGACCTGGCTTGCAGCCCAGAAGGCCAACTGTATCCTAGGCTGCATCAAAAGCAGCATGGCTGGCAGGCCGAGGGAGGTAATTCTGTCCCTCTACTCTGCTCTGGTGAGACCCCACCTGGATTGCTGCATCCAGCTTTGGATTCCTCAGCATAAGAAGGATATGGACCTGTTGGAGCAGGTCCAGAGGAGGGCCACAAAGATGATCAGAGGGCTGGAGCACCTCTCCTATGAGGACAGGCTGAGAGAGTTGGGGTTGTTAAGCCTGAAGAAGACAAGGCTGTGGAAAGACCTTATTGTGGCCTTTCAGTACTTAAAGGGGGCTTACAAGAAAGATGGGGACAAATTTTTAGCAGGGCCTGTTGCAATAGGACAAGGGGTAACGGTTTTAAGCTAAAAGAGGGTAGATTTAGACTCGATATTAGGAAGACTTTTTTTACAGTGAGGGTGGTGAAACACTTGCACAGGTTGCCCAGAGAGGTGGTAGATGCCCCATCCCTGGAAACGTTCGAGGTCAGGTTGGATGGGGCTCCAAACAACCTGATTTAGTTGAAGATGTCCCTGCTCACTCGAGGGGTTTAGACCAGATGACTTTTAAATGCCCTTTCCAACCCAAACTAATCTATGAAGGCCCAGCGGGGATGTGGTCGGCGCTGCTGCTGCAGGGCTGCCATCTGCAGGGTGAGGGCACCTTCGCCGTTGGCTGAGGGAGCTCTATATATGCACCTCGAGCTCAAGGTATGGTTGATGCGTTCAAATGAGCCAATCTGCAGAGGGTCTAGCACATTATTGAACAACCCAACGTGCAGAGGGTTTTGGGTGTTAGTTTTGTAGGAGAACGCAATCTGCAGAGGGTCCAGGTTAAAATAAAGTTTTGACTGTAACAGCAGCTTTGTTGTGTCATTGCTCCACCGAGGCCCTCTGCCACTACCCCCATTCCCAATTCCCAGCTTATCCATGCCAGCACTCCCTTTTCCATACTCCAAGCTGAAGCAGCCATGGCACAGGTGCAAGCCGACAGCAGGCAAACACCTGTGGTACAGCCCAGCAAATGGCTGGAAAAAGATTTCTCAGAGCTAAACCACATAGGCCTCACACTTGTCTGAAAGTGGAGAAGTTTCTTACGGCTGTCATTCCTCCAGCAACTTCAGTGAAAAGCCCACAGTTCCCTAGTCTACACCTAGGCACTATTTTGACAGATTAAAAAAAACAAGGAAAATGTATTTCTTTATAGTACCGAACACACCATTAATTAAGTAACATGATCTAGAGTTAAACTCCCATTTTTTAGAGTGTGGAAAGGAGATACTTCCAGCACTGCATATGGAGGTAGCAGAGATGCAATGCCTTTCCTCACCAACAAAATAAACAGCCATTTGTCTTCTAAAATGTTTATTCAGGAGAGAACTCCTCAGGACTGCAGTTGCAGGAGCACCTTATCGGTAGCAATTCTAACATTATAAATACACTGCTAATCAATCAATGCATTATAAATATCAGCTTCAGCTTTTCAGAGGGAATGAATACAATTAAGATTATGTAAATTAACTATTCAGAAATAATTGTAGTAATTGACTTCTCATTTCCAGTATGGAAAATTCTTTAATTGGAACAGACTGTAAATCTCTTCTGATGGAAAAGAACTTCAGGACACATTAAGAAATCCCCCACAAACATATCATGAAAATAACACTGATTGCAATGCTAATTTTTTATTTACCATATCAATATTTATATATCTTGAGATTTCAGTAGGTCAGCTGATTATTTTTTTTAAAACACATCAAAATATTACTCTCTATATTCGTAAACTGTAGAAGTTATGCTAGTACTTTGTTGCAGTTTTATATACTTGCTGTACTTAAGCATTTCTGTTTTTTCAAAGGTTAAAGAACATGAATATTTACTATGAAAGATTGTCTATGTATTTCTATATAAGTAAAATGGTTCTAACCCCAGTATTGTTGTAATTTCTATTAACAGCCTACCAGTTACCTAGACAATCAATAAATTATCAAAACTTAGCACTTATCTGTCATTTTTGAT